AGTACTTCCGGCATACGAGAGGTATACGCACGAACTCATTCCTTCCACCGGTAAAAGGTCGCTCGCGGCTTCTTCGTGTTGATGATGAACTCAAAATGCGGAAATATAAAGAGAGGGGATATTCGTACGGACGGGTAGGAAGCACATCGACCAGGACATACGCACCATGATCTTGACCAACTCTGTTCTTCTGACCCTCGCTGGAGCGACCCATGTCGCCGCGCAGTCGTTTCAGCTGACGCCTGTCATGGGTTGGAACTCCTACAATCAGATGTCATGTAGCCCCAACACCCAAAAGATCACCACGACCATCAACTCGCTCGCGAGTCGCGGGTTCGTCGACGCTGGTTACAAGTTCTTCCAGATCGATTGCGGATGGGCTTCAAGAGATGGACAACGGAACGCTACTAGCGGCGCACTGAAGGTGGACCTAAAAGCATTTCCAGGTGGTCTGAAGCCTTTAAGCGATCTTGCAAGGTCAAAGGGCATGAAATGGACAATGTACTCGGATGCCGGTGTGAGAATGTGCGACCCAGAGGCGCCGAGCCCTGTCTTGGGCTCATTAGGTCACGAAGCTGCGGACGCGGATTTCTTCAAGACGTTGAACACTGAATACGTCAAGTGTATGTCCGAAGGAACGTGGTCGCGCACTGTGACCATCAAGCTGACAGCCTTCCAGATGACAACTGCTATGCCGACGGGCCTGCAGCTAGCCAGAATGCTCCCAAGAACGCCAGAACCGATTTCGTCACCCGCTTCGGTGTCATGTGGAAGGAACTGCAACGAGTTGGCATCCCAGGGATGTTGATCTGTCAATGGGGCGTTCCATTCACAACCTCTACTGGTCTCCAGGGACCTGCTCAGTGGACTAAGCCCATCTCGACTTCCTTCCGACTATCGGACGATATTACATCAGGTTGGGCGTCCATGTTCCGCATCTACAACCAAGCTGTGCATATCGCCAAGTCCGGCCTGGTCGCTCCAGGACACATCGCCGATGCTGATCTGCTCATGGTCGGCAACTCTGGTATGACATTCGACGAGCAAGCTACGCACTTCGCTGCGTGGGCGATGCTGAAGTCGGCGCTCATGGTCTCAACCGACGTAGCGGCTCTGTCGAACGAACTCGTCGCGGTTCTGCAAAACAGAGACCTGATTGCGATCAACCAAGACTCCGCTGTTAAGCCAGTCACTCTCCGACAGCGTTGGAGTGGAGACCGTGACCTTTGGGCTGGCGACCTCGCCAATGGAGACATGGCCGTCTTGGTCGTAGACCTCAGCAACACTGCGCGCACGCTGAGTCTGCAGCTCTCCGAACTCGACATCGCATCGGCATCGATCAAAGACCTCTGGACGGGTAAGACTGTCAGCGAGGCTTCCCTTTCCAAGCAAGTCAAAGCGCATGGATCTCTCGCCATCCGCCTTTCCAACATTCGTCGCTCGACAGCGGTCAAACCTACATACAAGTATGTCTCCGCATCAACCGGCTCCCTTTCCTCGGGCGCATCCACCCAGTCCTGCTCCGGCTGCACCTCTTCCAACAAAGTCGGCAACTTGGGCGGTTCGTCGAACGGTCGCGTGACGCTCTCCAATATCCGCACGTCCAAAGCGACACAAACAGTGTACTTTGACTACATCAACGGCCAGGTCGACTACATGGGAGGTAGCAACGAGCGCGTCGCATCGGTTAGCGTGAACGGGGGTGCGGCAAAGACCGTCAGCTTTCCTCTGAGCGGGTACAACTGGGACAAAGATGTATACAAGAACTACGGCGTCGAGTTGTCGGGTTTCAGCACCACGGGTACAAACACCATCACCATCTCTGGTGTTGGAAGTGCGTACGCGCCGGATGTTGATAGGGTTGGTGTTGTTGCTTAGGTTTTGCCGCCCGAGCCCCACTTTCATGACACAATAATCCGCGCGCAGGCAGCGAGGGCGTGCACCTGTCTAGAGCTCCATATCATGATTGCAACAGCGACAACACTTCCTAAATCTAGAAATTGTATTTTGATTTTCTAAAAAGGAGTCAAGGAAATAAACAATTGCGATGAACGTCATGTTTCAACCGACAAGAAAAAGTTGACCACTGCTACAATCCCGATCGGTTTGGCCATGCTCGCCCCTGCCCACTGAGCTCATCATTCTTTTAACCCCCTGCATTTCACCAGTTCGGGCTCGATCTTACCTTCCCTATTGAGACCTTCATACAGTGCCCAGGCTGCCAACGTCTTTGCATCGCGTGGACAAAGCTTCCACAACTCCTCGTAGTCACACACGCGCAATGTAATCATCTCTCCTTGCTTCCTAGTCCCCGTCAGCCTTCCTCGCAGATCCATAATCTCCTGACGATTCAATTCCTGATGACACAGTCAGACTATTTCGTACCAAGCAGACATGTGGATAGAAGTACCTTCTCCCATAAAAAGATATGGATGTATTCATCTGACCCTCCAGGACTGGGGTACATGGCATCCTGCAGGGCTTCGTCCATGAGCGATTCGCCTTCGGGTTTCGACTGGCTCAGCGCCAGCTTAGTGAGGTCGATAAGCTCGTGTTTCGGTAGTTTGAAGCCGGTTTCTTCCTCGATCTCTTTCGCGGCTTGCCCGCGGAAATCGCCTGCATCATCGAGCATGCCCGCTGGGATCTCGACGAACTTGAGACTACCTGCTGGGACTCGTGGCTGCTCTGTCATGACCACCCATCTTTCGTCTCTCGAATCTACTGGCCGCAGCACCATCAGCATAGCCACGCTTCCTCCCCGGAGGAAAGCGATTCCAGGAAGCGCTTTGTTTTCTGAGTTTCGTATATCAGCCTTGAGCTTTATGAAACCAATTTTCGTGGGCGTGAAGTAGTCCACGGATTGGATTTCGATGCTCTTGAGAACATATGGGTCTTTCGAGAAGGCGTGGTCCTTATCGTCAGATTGAAGTGCCAGGTTCTTCCGAAGTGTGTCTTTCCAGTTGCGGAACGCGGCGAACTGCAACAGCTTCTCCTGTGTGATCTTCTTGGCCAGATCCACTGTAACAGGCTCTGGAAATCCATTTAAAATAAACTCATCCGTCATGTTTGTTGTCATGCTCCGTAGGCCGATGATGTCAAGGGACTGAGTGCTCGGGTCTCGTACCACCGAAAGGGCTGGAGAGGACTTTGACTTCTGGTTTCTTACGATCTTCCGTCATGCGCCAAAATATATACTTGTGTTGTCAATGTACGACGAGATCGCCCAAGTACAATGTGCTAAGTTGATCTTGTAGAGGACTTGACAGCAAGCTTTACGTGTAGTACATGACATATATTAATGGCACATCTGAGACACGCCTTCCATACCATCAGCTGAAAAGAAATTCATGCAGTGACAATGTCCTTGGGCCGGTTGCGGGGTTCCCGTGGTTGAATCAGGACTTGCCTTCTTCCGGTGAAAGTCAGCTCATTCAATGGTCCAATGCCTGCGCATGCAGTTATCGTCGGTGGAATCATCTCGGAGACATCGGTAGTAGCATCACGAATGCGGGCATCGAGGCTATCGAAGGCACGCGTTTCGGCAACGAAGGTTTCAGCTGGTGTAGATCATGACCTAAAGACGGCTTTTCAGTCAGAACCATTTTCCAGATGCGTCAGATTGATCTATCGCCTGCTATAAGGCAGACTTGGAGAGCTTCGGTCGTTGGCCATTTCTCATGTGGGCTTGCAGCCAACTGCGCCTTCATTGGCTCCACAAATGCATTGTCAGCGGAGCTGAATACCCAAAAACAAATTCGAACCCTGCAGATGCCGCTCGACCCGTGTCATTACTATTTTAATTCCGCTGTCGCGGTGGATCTATCCCGACCATAATGCCAAGCCAGTCGCTCCCCGGGCCGCCGTCAAAGGCTGATTCGGGTCGTGCTCTGACTGGCTCCACAACAACGGAGATCTACGTTTTCCGGAGAGACGAATTTCGCATGCACATCACACTCGGTTCTGCTGGTGTAAAGGTTGATGTTCAAGCACCGCTCCTGTCGAAAGGCCCAGCTGCGCGTGGACGTGCTACCGGATATATATAAGTGAGCTGAATCTCTTCCATTTATTTCTCCCACATTATCCTTTCCCTACTTTCACTTCCACGGCAGGATGCTTTGTCATACCTGTAGCGGCATGCTCCGCATGCAAAACGGAAAGCAGTGGAGGGGGACTTACGACCTGCATTTTGATCACCACAAACTGTTAAGAGATCTGTTCTGTTCCAAGGAGATGAACTGCGGGATCTGCCGTGTTTTATTCGAAGAGCTGGAGAACAAGCACGGCTCAAGACTCGACGACGTTGAAATGGATGACACACGTACCATTAACATACGAGCGTTCCTATTCATCCCCAATCCTAGAGAGGACCCTTTATACTGCCTCACTTTCAAGTTTTGCTATGACCAAACCCAATGTCAGCGAGCCTTCGTTTTGAGAGAGACCGGTAAGTTGTTGAACATATTCAAAAAACGTAGCTTACGAATGTAAAAGACTCCATCGACCCACCGCCTTTCCGAACTCCAACTTCCAGCACGACCGATTCCGATGAGGTGCTCCAGCGCACCATCCAATGGATGGCTAAATGTCGATGTGTTGAAAGAGATGGACCTCCTTCCTATCCAACACGACTGATAAATCTCCGGCAGTTGAGACAACCACGTTTTCTTTACGGCACGTCTCTGGAGGCGAGCGTCAGAGACACAGGAGTCGAAGTGCAGCTGGAAGAAAAGTGCGACTGGGAGGATGAGAGACCAACTGAGGATGTTCGCTATGTTACTCTCTCCCACTGTTGGGGTAATCTTCCACAGGCAGAGCGAGTGAAGCTGAGCTCTGAGAATGTTGAAAAATTCAAGAGAGGCATCAGGCTGGACAGCCTGCCCACATCGTTTCGCCATGCCATGTTGTTTGCAGCACGGCTTCCGGAAGTCGGTTACATCTGGATCGATAGTCTTTGCATCAATCAAGGTGATGTAACGGACTGGCTAGAACAGTCGGCAAGCATGGGCGAGATATACAAGAATGCTTACTTGAACCTCTCCGCTACTGCTGCAATCAACAGCGAGCAGGGTCTTTTCGCTGAGCGCGCACCCGAAACACTGATCGAGGACGAAGTCATTCTCAATATCGCTGGTCTTCCTGGAGCCACGAGCGTTCCTTCCAGCCCATGGCGGCCATCTCAAAACGTCAAAAAGTCTGTTTTACAGATACTCGGCGCATTCTGGCCCATAAGATGGCTTATGAGATACCTCCCGAGACGCATGTACATGCAGGCCATGACATTACCTATTGTGAAGAACCAATCAACAAGCGCAAGACTGGGTTCGAAAAGCTTGCTGACGATACAATCTTCCCGTCAGCCGCCACATAATTGGCTAGATGCCGGAATCAGCGAAGATACCAAGGGGAAAGATTTACGAAGATGCACAATCTTAGATCTCTCTTTTTGGGAGTATCGAGTCGACAAGGCGCCCGTGAACAAGAGGGGATGGGTGCTTCAGGAACGTCTCATGGCTCCTAGGGTATTGCATTTCTGCCGAGATCAGGTGGCTTGGGAGTGTCGTGAGTTCGAGGCTGCTGAAGGCCAGCCAGTAGGCATGCCGAACTATCAGCTCACGATGGGTGGCATAAGAGCAGGAAGCAGGCTGAAAGGTCTCAACCCGCAAAAAGATGGGCGCTGGCTACGGAACATGCGCTTGCAGGGATACAAAGATCCTGATCCTGAACTCCCGGGCATATATGCGTTTGAGCTTTGGCGCCGTATTGTTGAGGAATACTCCAAGACAGCCGTCACGAATCCAGGGGACAAACTCATCGCGTTATCTGGTATGGCCCGGTTCATGTCCCAACAAATCGAGAGGGCCCCCGAAGCCGCTGACGTGAGGAATGTTGGTATCGCCGGGACTGAAACCAGTCAACGCGAGCTTCCAAAATGTACTCAGTATGTGGCCGGCCTGTGGGTACTGTATCTAGCGAGCCAGCTTCTATGGTATGTTGAGCCAACATTTCGGCGCGTTGACGGTGGCAAACTGGAACATCTTACGACGGCACCATCAGACTACCGTGCACCATCCTTCTCTTGGGCCGCCATAGATGCTCAGGATGGAAACGGCATCACGTACGGCGAGGTCACTGACAAAGAAATCCTCATAACCGTTGTAAAGGCATCAGTAACCCCGCGGTTGCCATCCGACGAATACGGGATGCTGGAGGGTGCCTACATCATACTTCATGCGAAGCTGCGCAAAGCGACTCTCTTCAGGAAGGGTAAGGATCGTTTTGGGTGGTGTTTGGTCGGTCGTGAAAAGCTCGACGAAGATGAGCACACCGATGTGTATCTGGATTGCCCTGCCAGAGACGGTACCGGACTGGACAACGAGGGGATTCTCGGCCGTGACGCGGGAGTATTTGTGGTTCCAGCTGCCCACACCGACCGCAAGGCTTCGCCAAAGTCCAAATATCTGACTTGCCTCATCCTACGGCTCGATAAAACGCGCCTAGCGGGGCCGGTATTCCACAGGATCGGCTTGACGAAATTGAGTCCATACGGGGACCATAGGGCTCTGGACGACAACGAGATTTTGAAGCCGTACGATAGCGACGTGAACATGGTGAAGGATGTAGAGTATAACCCAAAGACGGGTATGCACCGTATCTGCCTCGTCTGAGACAGGTCCCGGGGGTCGGTGATGTGCTTCTTTGGATTTTGGGTGCGGCCGTTCCTGACGTCACACCAGCTGGGCAACCACGCCAACCTTGGAAGCTACCTATCTATGTCACCTGTCGCCGCAATGTTTCTTTTGCTTCAACGAAACTTTGTAGCGGATTTTTTTTTACATCGGCTCATCAGAAGGCCTTCCAGTGGATGCGTATATGCGTCAGATGTTGAAGGAGTGGATGTGAACGTCTGGCTCGCGATCGGCTCAATTCGGCGCATTTCTGTCTTTCCAGCCACGCCTGATTAGCCGGCTCAGCCACCTTTCTAGCGGTCTGGACATCTCCTTTGCAACGTACTACGGATATTTATGAAGCACAATGAATGAACAACACTATATGTTCGGTCCGACGCCAAACCTCCGGCTGGGTATCATGTAGATACGCAACACAATCTGCTCTTCTGTCAGCCAAGTCCACCGCATCGTCGCTTGAAATTTCTCCGCGTCGTTACCTCGTACGCCGATCGAGTGGTTGTTTGAGTTGTCGCATGTGCCAATTTTATGATGATTGATGCAATATCTGCGTATTCGGTGGTTCTCGTATCTAGGCTTACTTTGTGAAATGACTGACCGCGTTTCCAACGCAGCGCAGCGCAGCACAGTGCATCTGACGTATGCGCATTTCTTAGCAATGCAGCGCATGAGCAAATATTAGACATCTCGGCCCTACAATACGCAGGTACAATGATGGATACATAAAGATCTTCACGTCCTCCGTTTCCTTTCCCCACCACTCCAGATCCACAGTTGCACACCACCACTTCAAACCTCACTTCCAAACCCCAACAAGTATCCCAAGATGCAACTCCAGTACCTCCTCCCCGCCGCCTTCTTCGCCGCCTCAACCATAGCCGCAAAATTCAACGGCTTCTCCGACATCGCCTGCCAACAATACGACGGCACCTACATCCCCATGACAGCAACCCAACTGCAAGACATCGTCGTCAAGTCCTGGGCAACCACGCAAGAAATTCCCGAAGCATCGCGCTCCTTCACCGCGCCTGATGACAGGAAGCTCTGCCCTTCGAACTCGGATGATACGTACAAATGGGTGAGTAGCATGATCATATAGCTTGGCTTGGTGAAGCGTTGCTGACTATTCTTGTTTTGCGATGTAGGTGTCGATCCCGCAGTGGGGGCAGGGTAGCAAGTGGCCCGCTGGTAATGGTGGTGCGCTGGCGGTGGTTTACTACAAGGAGACTGATACGTACAATGTGTGCCGTTATCTTGCTGCTGCTCAAGCGGATGGGTATAAGGGTGCTTGCAAGTAGGTGGTGGATCGCTTGTGTGATGAGCAATAATTTGGACGGATCATAGGGTGGTGGAGCGTGTATATACATGGATATATTGAGTGTGGTCGTCGCAATGATAATTGGTTCGTCATGTTTGTATCACGCGATACGGTAGTCAGCGGCGTTACTTCTCGCTACTCTTTCGCCAGCTTCGATTTACCCAGCCCGATATCACATTGCTTCGCTGAACTTTCACTCTATGTCTGTTGCGTTGGATCTATGAGGTGTCATGCATGAACAAACGGTACGTCAAGTTTGAAACACTGTGAAGCTATTTGCAGTTTGTATTGGATGGAATACGACACGCATGATAACTACTGATAGTCCACAAAACGCACATTGGTTAACTGGGAAACCTACTTTCGTGGTACCAATAGTGAGAACGAACGAAGCGGTGTCATCTAATGTGAAGAGTGCCATATTCACGATGAAGCAAGATGTCGATGCTCTTACAGCCTATACATTTGCTTGAAAGCTGCTACGCCTCCTGGCGGTTGTGACACGAATCCGCTGAAAATTTCTTCGTCCCACTCGTCGAGGAATTGCTGCGGTGTCCAGTGCTTCCGGGCTTCTATCATACTTCTGGCATCCCAAAGAGCACCGGTGTCTCCCTCGAAGTGGATGGAGCCGAAACCTTCGGTGATCTGTCGGACTACCGCGTAGAATGAGTCCGGTAGATGGCAAGGCATTTGGAATCTATGCTTCAGTGCCGCTTCGCTCAAAGGTACGCCCCAATACAGCGGATCGTACAGCTCAGTGAGCTGAACATCGCCGTGTCTTTGCATATAGTCAGACTTGAGCATGGCCTCTTGAAGGCTAGCTGCATGCTTGAACGTCTCCCACGCGGCAAGGCTTTCGTCCTGATGACCTTCGATATGGATGTTGAGAGCCTCGGGGTGCGGGATACGATCGAAGGTACAAAGGACCTCGTCTAAGAAGTCCGCAAACGGGCGAATTAAATTCAGCTTCATTATGGAACCTTCGTTCACACGTTGGGTGTCGAAGGGGAAATGCAGCCAGAATGGGTGTGTGAGGTTTGTCCAACACCCCACGTGCAAGTCGATCCGGAGGTTTTGGTTCTCGCAGAGATAAGATTCAAGAGATCTTACGTGTGACTCGGGGTAAGCTACGGCCAATTTGTTCTCCCGGATGATGAAAGGAAGTCGTATGCGCAATCGAGTACTCTGGGGCAACCTTTTGAGGTAATTGACTGCAACAGTTGTGGCAGAGAAGTACCAAGCTAAAGGTGCTACAGGCTCGGTCCATGCCAAATGAGGATTAGTATCTCGGGGGAGGGGGTCGGCTAAAAAGGACTCCAGAGCAAGATCAGTCTCGGTTGGTATCAGCGCCAGGTCCGGCTTCCACGCGAGGAGGGCGTTCTGGCATCCAGGCACAAATGGAGGCATCATGCCGTGAATGCTGAGTGGGCTCACGATGGACTCGGCTATGAGTTGGTCGAATTTGGGATGCGAGGATGCGAGCTCTAACGTGTAATGTAAGGCGTCGCAAAAGGATGCTGACGTTTGCCACCGCCAGTTGTAGTCGAATGGGTTGATTCCATTCCCCTCATATAGCTCATCTCCTGCCTTGATGGCACCGTAGGCTTTTCGATAGTAGCAGGCGATATTGGGAAAGCGGGTGGCCACCTGATCAACCATCTCCGGGGTGACGCATTCGCCCTTGGCCACGAAGTGCAGCATATGCATCTTCATGCGCCTCGCGCTTTGTATCAGTCGCTCAAATCGTCCAGCTTTGGAGTCAAGATTCTTTACGCTGATGCAGTCTTGATTAGAACGCACAGGGAAGAAAGTTAGGGTGTTGGCTCGCATGGCCGCATCCTTCATCTCCCCAGCTGCTTGCTTGCAGCAGCGTGTCAGCGCAGTCATCTCCTGATGTTTTTCCTGGGTCTCATACCGAAGCTTATCTGAGGCATAGTCGTAGAGTACGCCATTTTCGTCGTGCGCATAGTGTTCGTAGATGTTATCGCGCAATTCCCTGGGGAGGCGGAATAGAGGTGACTGCAGTTGGTCTAACATTGTGAGAAGTATGATGGCGGTATTTCCAAGTAGTAGTGGTACGATGGTAGTAGAAGGATGGTGGATATGGAAAAATATGATGATGGAAAATCGATGGGAATCGATGGCTTAAGTGCGTTCTGGACATCCATGGTTCGCCAGGCATCAGCGGGTCACGTGCACAACCCAACTTTGGTTCAGGGTAATACCAACCTCAGAATCGCCCGGTACTACCAAGGCACAGTCGCGGGCTAGTAAATTCTGAGATTCTCACTCAACTTTTAGCCGACACTGCGATCTTGTTTAATACAGCATACCCCCGGGGCCATGTGGGCAGCGATGAACCCGTGGACATAACCAACGTACATCAGTTTTCACGATGACTCGTGTACCGGTAGGCCCCTGGGGTCGTAAAAGCTGCGTAACACATACACCTCTCACTTGATCAAAAAAAGATGCGAAACCGACGCTGGTATCACATATGCATCTGCCAGCGATCAGCAACCACTTATGATGAGTCGGATAGAGAACGGCGTGTGAGTGTGTACATCCCCACGCACGTGCCATTGAGGTGCCGCGTGGGGTGGGTCCTACCGCGAGCCATGGCCTCTCCAAAACGCGCCCCCATCATCGAACATTCTCGCATTTCTTGTGGTCTCGGAAGCGCCAGATGCGGACGCACGGTCTCTTGTCGGTCATGGTCCTTTGGCGATCATTGCCCTTTTGCTACACGTTGCTCGGTGCTATCGCAAGATGAAGTCTCCTGCGTCAAAGCTTGGCATCGCTGCTGAGACAACGGTGGAAGCACCTGACCCGCCCTTATACCTGTGACGGTATAAATCAGACAGACAGACACAGATTTCCGTTGCTGGATAGACTCGCAGAAGTGAGTTTGAGTGTCCGCTGGAGATCCTATCTGCACATTCCTCATCTTTTCCTATTTTCACCACTTTTTCTATGCTTCTCCGCAATGACAAGTCCTACAACGGCATATCCGACCCGCTCCAGAGCCTAACAACTGCGGCATGTACCAACCAGTATTGTGGCAATCTCTCCCCGCTCACTCGTCTACCACGCGAATTACGCGACCAGATCTACGAGTATGCCCTGGGTGCCGACATGATGCGTATATTGAGTTTCGGCGAGACGAAGATCATAATGCTCCCAATCTACGCGCCGGGTCGCGTGCACTGTGATCAGGAAGACGGTCTTCCGACGTGGATGCTATCTAGCAAGATGATTCTGTCTGAAGCACTCGAAGTCTTCCACCGAACGCAGTGCTTTGAGCACATCGACCTTGCGCCATACGCCCAATGGAAACTTTCGCCCACGCGAAGGAACCCACTGGTATTCAACCAAAATATACGTCACGTAAAACTCAACGAGTCACTTGAAGTGGTCGGAGATTCCTTTCCATCACCGAGCTCCTGGCATCCCGGATACAACGATACGTTTCTAAAGTGTCTTGCGTTATGGAATCCTCCGGAATTGGACGTAAGCTGTGAGGTATTCTCTAATAATCCGGAAGGACCTCGCATGGATCCAAGCCAGGTACCAAAGTGGCACAGTAAGGTCCCTGTGCGGAACCCCGATGTACGTGATCGGTTCAAACAGCTTCGCGGACGGTGCAGAAGCATGTCAGTGGAAATCAAAGTCCCTCACGGTTTTCAGGAGAACGGAAAGCTTTTAGATAACGCACGAGCTTGGGCTGAGCCTAAGCTCGAGCACAAGAGACAATATTTCGCCGACTTATGTCAGTCGATTGAGGCATGGGCGAGGGAATTGGTTGGCGGAAGCACGCGCTTCTTACTGAAGAACGAGAATGACGGAAGGAGCAATTGGAAGAATGGAACTCCTCCGGGAAAGTACTTTAGGGCCATATGCGAGGCGCAAAGACTCGGCCAAACATGTCGCATAGAAGCGATGAATGACATTGGGGATTGGTACTGCGGCATTGCAATAGTCATCAACATCAACGCAGCAAATTTGAGCCCCTTCTAATAGTCTCAGCCTTTTCCACTTAGTACCGTTACAGACATGCGCGCGTACAGCCGCATCTCTCATGTGATGTCTCTTACCAGATATTCCCATCATTTGAAGACTTTAAGCCCTAGCTCCGAATTGAAAAACTTACATACACCGCGTAGTTCTCATCGCTGGTCTACTTGAAAGGACCCCAGATCTAGCAAAGCATAAGTACAATACGAGTAGATGAGTCCAGTAACTTCCCTCTACCACCATCAGCGTCCACAGAAAGCGTAATAACTCCTCCTCTTCCATAACTACCCTCACTTCCCCCTCCGCAACCCCCTCAAAGTCCCCGCAAATCTCCTCCGAGTCACATACACAAACCCCATAAACAGCACCGCAAACACCACACTCCCCGCCCCCGTCCTCTGATTCATCCCCGCCTGCTTCTTCGCCTCCTCATAATACCCCTTCACCTTCTCCGTAACACCATCATCCCTCTCCAAATCAGGCATAGCCATGATCTTAACCACCAACGCCGACCAGCCAGTGAAGTGCTGGGTACGCTGTCCAGCACCCTTAACAGGGTCGTATTGCTCCCAGATATAGCCCGTTTGGAGATACGAGTTGAACACGGTGTGGACGATATTGCTGCGGAGTTCGATGTAGATTTCGCGGCAGCGTTGCTGTGAGGGGCCGGGGATTTGGGCGAGGTCGAGAAGGTTGGTGAGGAGGAGGTAGTTGATGTTTATCCAGATGGGCGAGCGCCAGTAGTTGTCGTCTTTTCCGTAGGCGTCGTCCTCGGGGCTTAGACTGCGGACGCCGAAGTCGGTCCAGAGGTGGTTGGGGTCGCGGAGGAGGGTCAGCATGGCGGGGAGATGTGGGTGTGAGGGGTCGGTGAAGCCGGTTAGGAGCGGGAAGATGGAGATGTAGCCTTTGTGGCAGGCGTGGGTGTGTAGGTCGTTGCGGACTACGGCGTCGCAGTAGGTGTTTGGTTCTTTGGACCAGTGTATCGTGTCGATGTTGGTTTTGACGCCGCGGATGTGGTTTTGGTATGTGAGCGCGTCGTGGGCGTTTTCGGTGAAGAACGCGATGCGTTCTAGTGTTCGTGCCATTACGCCGACCCAACATAGGGCATCTAGGTGCAGCTCAGTGATGTCAGGAGGCTCCGCTCGAGGGTAGTCGTCTAATCCACTGGCGAAGTTCGTTCCTGGTGTTCGACCACGCCACCTGTAGCCTTCATTCAAATTGGCCGATGGAATGGAATGGGTCTCCACATCTCCAGATTGCGACTTCCGGAACCAGTCGTAGTGCTTCTTGAGGTACGGATACATCTTCGTCACCAAAGCTTTCCCAGTCTCTGCTTTGGCGAGGTACACGGAGTCGTGACCATGATATTTCGTCGTCCCTTTCAGCATATCGATGAACTTTGAGATGACCAGAAACATCGTTGGCGGATTCGCAATGTGTGGAAATTGGGTGACAAATTCCGCAGGCGTGGCACCCTCGGCTTCCGCGCCTAGAATCTGCTCTCTTGCTATCCAGCCATCGTCATCCATGAGGTTTAAGAGCCAGTCGCGTATCACCTCGAGAGCGAGATCAGCATCCCACTCGATGACAAGAAGAAGATGAAACCCTTCATCCCATAAGAAGCCCCTCGGAAAGGCTGCACGAGATGGCGTATGAGTGAGAAGCTCATACGGGCCTTTCGTCTCCGGTGTTGTATGCTTCTTTGCGTCGACTGACTTCTGCCAGAAGTTTGCAGTGGTCTCAGCGTATATGGCCTTCTTCGACGTGTCGACCTTGGCAGTGCCGGTAAAGTAGCCTAGTCCACCTAGCAGGTTGGAGAATGTATTCCGAGAGAAGGCGCGGTGCATGACGGTGGTGAAGGGGGTTTTCGGGGTGAACACTGCGTCGAAGTTCTTGGCGAAGGATGCGAGGGTTTCCTCCAGACTGGTGGTAAGACCGGCGGCTGGACGGCATTAGCATATCTGGTTCATGGACGCGCTTCTTCGTATAGAATGGCGGAGGTGAGTACTCACAGGTCATTGCTCGTTTCGCAGTATCACTCGAGTACAGGATGTCGAACTGCTTGAGGTTAGTCGCAGTTTAAACATATGATCGTGGTGCTAACCTCAAATTCCCCATGGCACACCATCTGCACTAGCTGCAAATTGCCGTTGCCCGGAGCGTCGCGTAGTACGATATCATTTGGTCCTGGCTCGGTGCGGTCTTTCGTTTGGTCTTTCAGCGACTCCAAGAAGGTGGCTTCTTGCACATGCTCATCAGCTGGTTGTTCATAACACGATGGGGAGGTTCGAAGCACAGGTAGATGGGATTGAAGATATCATGGCATTCATTGTACTTACATTTGCCCTGCCACAGCCTATCTTCCGTAACGTTCAGCGTCTTGATATACGCTATTTCCCGTTTCTCATCTGCATTGATGGGTACAGGGATATGAATACCCGCATTACCCAACTTCGGATGCGCAATGTTCATGTTCACAGCCTGAACCGTCTTCTCATCGGCCTCAAACTGTTGACGCGCCTCGAGCTTGCAGTCAGCACAGGCTTCCATCGCCTCCATGCCAATGTAGAAGACCACGGTGGTCTTGAGATCTTTCGGCGCATCAGGCCTAGGCATGCCCTTGATGCGCAAACCCCAATTCCCCTGGCTCTGGCCTTCAGAGTGCTTTATGAACTCGGTTACGAGGTTTATCTTGTTTCCGACGTCCTCTATCATTTGTCGACCGCCTTCTCGTGTATCGTATGAGATCCAACCGTACTTGGCCATGCCGTCGCTCTGGTTCACGTCATGTCGGAGTGCTATAGAACTAGTTAGCGCTGTACGCATATCCTCATAGTGTCTACTTACTCGTGTTTACATCTTCCAGCTTCCCCCACATGACGCCCGCAATGAGACTTTTGGGCATGCGGGCGCGCAGGCCCAGATACAGATTCGGACGATAAGGGCCCCATAGTAGCGATTCGTTGCTAGTCGGCACCTTGTGGTCGGCGGCGGACGCGTGTGGGAGAAGCGTGAAGAGGAGC